AGACTGTGGAACCAACCCAGATGCCCTTCAATAGATGAATGTATATATCTTTTAAATGTTGGTCATACATGGCACCAGTCCTTCCCTGACAGTAAGCTCCAAAAGGTAGATACCATGTCTACCTTTGTCACCACTGTATCTGCAGAGAAGCATATGGAGCCTGACATGTGGTAGGCTTTTAGATTTTTTCTGAGTTGAAAATAATTTGAAAGTCCTTCTGAATATTAATCTACATTGTTACCTCGAACCTAGTACCATGGCTTTTAAGGGACTATCAATAAAAATGTGCCAATTTTGAAAAAGTAACCTAATAAAATAGTCAATGAATGAATACTCTAATATGGTATAGTTTCAAAAGTATGTTCCACAGTACCAACATGCAACAAGGTAGCCCATAACATAGAGTGAGATGAAGAGAATTTACATCTGTGGGAGTGCTCCGTGTATACCAGGCCCTGGGCTAAGTGCTTTACATTCATCTTCTTATAGGATCTGTGTAATAATCCAATGAGGTATGTCATTATTTCTATTGCACAGTTGGAGAAACTAGCACTCAAAGAGTTTAAATAATCACTTAAGGTAACATAGTTTGCTATGATTTAGATATGAGATATCCCCCAAAAGCTCATGTGTGAGATAATACAAAAATCTTCAGAAGCTTGACCTAATCAATTGATTAATCCACTCATATGGATTAACTGGGCAGTAACCATAGGCAGGTACCATGTGACTGGAGGAGACAGATTGTTGGGGATACAAATCAAGCCAAGATGGCACCTGGCAGTTTGCCAGGAGGAGTGGTTTGTGAGGCAACGCCAGAGAGCAATTAAGATGATGAGGATTCTTATTGGCTGACTGCTGTATCTAGATGATGTTAATTGAGTCAAGGTGTGTGTAATCAGTTAGGTATATATACCTCTGCTGTCCCGCAGAGAAGCAGTTCCGCTACCTTAGGAGCCCGCTACTTTGAGTTCTCGCTCAGTTCCTGCTGAGTTCACTTGCAATAAAGTAGTTCCCGCTTCAACCTTCAAGTTGCTTGTCACCTCTTGGTTATTTGCCCAGCCAGACTGCAGCAACAGATCACTTAGGGCATGTGGGATATGTGCAGTCCATTGTGATACTTCACTCCAGTGAGTGA